GGGAGAGATGCGAGGATTAAAAAAAATATATATATAATAATTAAAATATATAATAGTAAATATATTATGTTTTTGTTGGCTTGATGATATAACAAAAAAAAATAAAAATATAAAGATAATAGTATTTTAAATATATCATCGAAGCCAACAAAAAACAAAATCTACTCCATCAGCTTTTTCCGAGCATAAAAAAAACCAAATTACAAAGTTTTAATTTTAAATTTAATAATGAAAACTATATATGTTAATTTTTTGTATTTAAAATAATAAATTTTCTTATAATATAATATAATAAATTATCTTATAAAAAGATCTTTGTAATTTTTTTTTGAACTTAATATTCTTCAGCCTCCTCCTCTTCTCCTCCTTCAAGTGAATCAGTACCAACTTCCTCGTAATCCTTTTCCAAAGCAGCCAAATCTTCACGTGCTTCAGAAAACTCACCTTCTTCCATACCTTCACCAACATACCAATGGACAAAAGCACGTTTTGCATACATTAAATCAAATTTGTGATCAAGACGAGCCCATGCTTCAGCAATTGCGGTTGTGTTGGACAACATACAAACAGCACGTTGTACTTTAGCAAGATCACCACCAGGAACAACAGTTGGAGGTTGATAATTAATACCAACTTTGAATCCAGTTGGACACCAATCAACAAATTGAATGGTACGTTTAGTTTTAATGGTGGCGATAGCTGCGTTGACATCTTTAGGTACTACATCACCACGATATAATAGACAACAAGCCATGTATTTTCCATGACGAGGATCACATTTAACCATTTGATTGTTTGGTTCAAAACAAGAATAAGTGATTTCAGCAACAGTGAGTTGTTCGTGATATGCTTTTTCAGCAGAGATGACAGGTGCATAGGTGACTAATGGAAAATGGATACGAGGATAAGGTACCAAATTGGTCTGGAATTCGGTTAAATCGACATTAAGGGAACCATCAAATCGTAGAGAAGCGGTGATAGATGAAACAACTTGTGCAATTAATCTGTTAAGATTGGTGTAAGTAG